TTAATTGACGCCGAGCATCTCCAAGGAGAATCGGTATAGAAAACTAAAGGTTAGTAAAGATATTGAGACTCATACACAATTTTATTTAATGTACACCAATACCTCGCTTTGCGTCGTTTCGTTTTGCGTTTTTTTCGAAGTTGCGTCGCTGCTTAATTTTTACTGATTTTCACTGTGCGTCGTTAGATTTTCGAAGTTGCGTTGTTTTGGATTCGAGTCTTTAATTTTTTATTGATTTTTTTTCCCTAAAATATGGCAACACCTTTGTTTTTGATTGCGCCTTCACATATTTTCCCTTTGCGTCGTTTCAATTTGCGTCGTGTTTTTTTTTGGAACGCAACCCCGACGCAAAGCGAGGTATGGGTGTATATGTTTATTCAATGATCATTTTCTTAATTGTTTATTTTATTTTTGATAATTCTTTTACCTACTCTACTATCATTTGGTGTTTCTTGCGCTCCAGAGGCCTGGATTATCCTTTTTTTCTCTCGCTCTCTCTACTACAAGATGAATTATTGTAAATAGTTTCACGCGCAATTATCCAGATCGGATATAGCGTGTCTTGTTTGCAACTGGTAATAAATAAAAAATTCACAACATCCTTTAAAAAAAGGAAACGCTTTGAAAATAGCATTAAAACATTAGAGACAAAAGTAAAAAGTTTAATGTAAATATTAAATTTGTAATCACTTCCAACCTGAATACGTGATAGGCTTCAGATCTTTATAAAAAAAAATGTGAATGTAAAGGTTGTTCACCAGACTACTGGAAGAATCTGTGTTTAGAAGAGCTCTAAGGGAGCTTCCAAAACAAAAACAAAAAGCTTCTTCGGAAAATATTATTGTTTAGAGACTGTTACGTCAAAATATTTACTCTTTCAGATACTTCTGGTGGCGGTTTGTAGTCGTTTAAACATCTTGTGGAACAAAAGACGTGTTCCTTGTATATTTGACGAAATGTTTATTAGCTCATATTTCAGCGATCTGGTGAATCCGCGGTAAATCCATGTATAATACATTTCTTTTCCTCCAATATACCCAGACTAATCTATTAGCTTGATTGTCTGGTTCAAATCACATTAATAGGTACCGCTCAGCAATAGCAACCTAGTTCATGATAATTAAAACAATGAATAATATGTGAAGGTTATTCACATATTAAACAAATTTTAACGCGGGATTCAATCCCGGTTCATGACTGTCGGGAATCGAGCGTGTTACCCTCTCATCCACCGACTTATATCGGGAATCGAGCGTGTTACCCTCTCATCCACCGATATTTTTTGTGTTTCTTAGCTTGATTGTCTTTATATAATTTTTACTTCTGAATATAGAGCAATCCATACTATGAATATTTAAAATATAAGGCTTATATTTTGGATTGTAATAAGATTATTTATTAATCCGATATTTATATAGACCAATCGTTCATCTTTTACATCAAAAACCCTCGTAAAAGATGGACGATTGGTCCATCGAAATATTGGATTAATAAAAAGAATCTTATTACAATCCAAAATAAGCCTTATTTTAAATATGTTTTCCTGTATATAAATATCATATTACCATTAAGGTACTATTACTGTTATTCCTGTATGTAAATATCATATTACCATTAAGGTACTATTACTGTTATTCCTGTATGTAAATATCATATTACCATTAAGGTACTATTACTGTTATTCCTGTATGTAAATATCATATTACCATTAAGGTACTATTACTGTTATTCCTGTATGTAAATATCATATTACCATTAAGGTACTATTACTGTTATTCCTGTATGTAAATATCATATTACCATTAAGGTACTATTACTGTTATTCCTGTATGTAAATATCATATTACCATTAAGGTACTATTACTGTTATTCCTGTATGTAAATATCATATTACCATTAAGGTACTATTACTGTTATTCCTGTATGTAAATATCATATTACCATTAAGGTACTATTACTGTTATTCCTGTATGTAAATATCATATTACCATTAAGGTACTATTACTGTTATTCCTGTATGTAAATATCATATTACCATTAAGGTACTATTACTGTTATTCCTGTATGTAAATATCATATTACCATTAAGGTACCATTATTGTTATTCCTGTATGTATCCTATATTTCTGTACTTGGAGAATCTGTATAAGACTTAAAGGTCTTAATAAAGCTGTTTGTTGTTGGTATTTAAGCAATCTACAGACGCTCTTTTTTTAAGGTGGAAAGTTTTAAGTGAAGTTTGCGCCGAAATATCGAATAATATTTTTTTGAGTGTTGATACAGCTTGAATATGGACTGTTATTAAAACAATGATAATATCTCCCTATTGACTATACAAGAAAAAAAAACACAAGTAGGGAAGAAGAGATTTTCTTTATATAAGAATCTCTTATCTACGACTTGTGTTTATTCTCCTTCTTTCTTATCTCCACTCAATCATATTAAGGTATCAAGCTTGTAAAGCTTGTTGATGGTGTCTGCCGGGGATGAGTAGAGCTCATCAATGGATGAGTCAATACAGTCAATAATGTGTTTTGGGGTTGCAGGTTGACACTTAGTACATAGTGGGAAAACCCTGCAACCATAACCTACTTTTATACTATGCTTATCATCCACTTCAGTGTTAAGTGAACAACACTAAATTGGTTTCTACTCATTTTTTAAGTGTAATTTTAATGTTTGTAGTAATGGCTTTATTAGGTTGTGCTAACCTAAAGTTCTTCTTCTTTCTTATCTCCACTCAATCATATTAAGGTATCAAGCTTGTGAAGCTTGTTGATGGTGTCTGCTGGGGATGAGTAGAGCTCATCAATGGATGAGTCAATACAGTCAATAATGTGTTTTGGGGTTGCAGGTTGACACTTAGTACATAGTGGGAAAACCTTGCAACCATAACCTACTTTTATACTATGCTTCGCATCCACTTCAGTGTTAAGTGAACAACACTAAATTGGTTTCTACTCATTTTTAAAGTGTAATTCGAATGTTTGTAGTGATGACTTCATTAGGTTGTGTTAACCTAAAGTTCTTCTTCTTCTTTCTTATCTCCACTCAATCATATTAAGGTATCAAGCTTGTGAAGCTTGTTGATGGTGTCTGCTGGGGAAGAGTATAGCTTATTACTGGATGAGTCAATACAGTCAATAATATGTTTTGGGGTTGCAGGTTGACACTTAATACAAAGTAGGAAAAACTTGCAAACATAACCTACTTTTATACTATGGTTAGCATCCACGTCAGTGTTAAGTGAACAACACTAAATTGGTTTCTACTCATTTTTAAAGTGTAATTTTAATGTTTGTAGTGATGGCTTTATTAGGTTGTGCTAACCTAAAGTTCTTCTTCTTCTTTCTTATCTCCACTCAATCATATTAGGGTATCAAGCTTGTAAAGCTTATAGTAAACGAATAATTTTTTGCGCTACAAATATTAAAAATAAAGATGTAACCTTTCGCAATGAGTTTCTTTTATTACAATAAACGCGAGCTTTCGGGCTGTTGATGGTGTCTGCTGGGGAACAACCATCATGACTGGGTGAAGTAGAATGCGTCTGCCTTTGTCATTAAGACTGGGAGCACTACTTAGTGGCAGGCCGACTTAGCTCCAAAAGAAATGGCCATCTCTGACATGAGGAACAGACACCATGTGCAGCCTCTCCTAACATGGAGTACAAACGCTGCTCATCCTGTATCCCTGGATTAGGAACCCATACAGGGTACTATCAGCCAGGCCAGCTGAACTCAGGTTTTTTAGTGAGCTTGTTACTGCTCCCCTTCCTCCTTTTTCATCCGGGCTTGGGACCAGCAAAGGCGGAGTTTAACCTAAAGTTAAATTGACATAATCAAAACTAAGGCTTAAATTGATGTACTCTTACTGCCAACAAACAGCAATGTGGGGCAATGTTTTACTAACCTTAGTGAAGACATTTTCAAATCATTTTATATTTGATTTTAGAAAGGTGGGAGACACTTGTATGCTCCGTTTAAAAACTTGGATAATTGCATTCAACAATTCTTCTCCTTTACTAAATTCACCTTAAAATTTTCTTCTCCACGACTTTCTACTTCTATAGTATTGACCAGTGCTAAGTTCTTTTAATCTGTTGTAAGATTTAGGTACTTACAGCTTGTATGAAGGCATGAGGACGTTGATGATTATATAATAATAAACTTTATTATCCATTTAGTTAAAGAAAGTTATAGTAGCGAACACATTAACAGTATAGAGAAGAAGTAAACAAACTGTAGTGATGATGATAAGGCCAGTGTGGCGCTAGCTGTAGTCG